AAAAAAAAAAAAAAAAAAAAAAGAAGTATTAGGGAAATCTATTAAGGTAAATTGAGAAAATACACTCACAAATACAGAGTAGACAGCTGAGGTCGTCCTCTGATCTGACCGGGAGTGAATCCACCTTTTAAGAGGTCATGTACAATGGCAGGAGGCTCCGCCTCTTTCTCGGGTCCTATAGCCCAAGGTCATGGGCGGAGCAAATACCAGTACATTTCCTCTTTCTGCCTAACTAAGAAAGTTCTAAACTTAATGCAAACTATATACAGTAAGAATGATTATCAAGTATTGTTCAGGAAAAACAAAGGGTAATAACATAAACAAACAAACAAAAAAAAACCCAAGAATAACATCAAACAAGAAAGACATGCTAAATGTCCAGAAATGTCCAGAACATAGGTAAATGGAAAATTACTGAGATTACTCCATTAGCTGTCCTATCCTGAAGATTCTAACTCTAGTACTAATATGTGCTAGCTAAGCTACAAGAAGATTGTAACTGTAATTATCTAGTCTTCAACTCCATCAAAGACCTGAGATGGAAAATAATAATACCTGAGAAAACGGAAAATGCAAACAAGCAATTTCCAAAATTCTTGTGAGAATAGACAGAGACAGCTGGCAGCCTGGACAGTCATCTAAAATTTCTCAGCATCGTCGGAGCATCCAATTTGACTACAGGCCTAGAATACCTGACAGACCATCTTCAGAAGCAGGAATTTTGAAAACCACCTTACTCTATCTTGGCAGAGTTCAGTAGATGATTTTCCTTGTGTCCTGCTCATCCAGAAAGGACAGCGTTCATACTGTCAGCAGCCAAGGCAAGGGCAGTTCTTTGTCCAGCAGGCCATTTTGGGCCAAGAAGACAGCAAACTTCCAAACAGAAATGTCTAGAAGCCCAACATTCTCTTGGGATCAGACTGGTGCTGCCAGGAGCAATCATGTCTCACATCAACAGAATTCTAAGTTCTAAAAACATTTAAATGCCATATTCTCTAGGTCTATGAAGTGTTTGAAGATTACCTATCCATCTGACATATGTTTCTGTAAATCTGGACAACCTAACTAACATACCATAGAAATGACAAGCATGGGTAACTATAGTTCTGTAAGTCTTATCTACCTAAATAACCTAAAGACTAAGGCTTCACATTAACAAGATAAATAGTCTGTAAGCAGATGTACTGTATAAGGACAATGACCTCAAAATTGTGACAATACACAAAATATCTTAAACAGAGGTAGGAATGTATAGTGCAATATGACAGCAATATCCTTAATATGTATCAATATACAAAATATTTCAAACAAGAGTTGAAATATATGTACAATACAACAAATATAGTTTTGTATTTGTATCAATATACAAATTATGTTAAATAGGAATAGAAGAATAATTTACATTTGTATCAAATACACAAGAATCCATATCAGTGCAAATTATCCAAGGCTGATAGTTTGCTAAATCAGTTTACTAGTAAATACAATAATCTAATTTAATATCCTATACCTATCCATTCCCCTTTTTCTTTTCTAAAGGAGAATACTGAGTCCAAATTTTATTGTTCCACCCTCAACCCTATAACCATCCATCTATAACCCTGAGAAAAATGAAACCTTTGGGAGAGGGGCATCATTTTTTTGGAATTGCTTCCTGCTGTTTAGGGGTGACGGTATCTCTGTGGGGTCCTGTAAGAAAGCTTGATAGTTAGGTCTCAATAGGACTGGCTGTAGAGTCTGCAGCCAGTCTCAAAGTAATGGGTAAGAGTGTCTGAGATTCTGGCAACAAGTGTAGTATGATGGGCCATCTCATCTTAGAACTGTCCTGAAGTTTTCAGTCCAAAGCTGATCGTTGAGTAATGTTCTTAGGTACAGTGGCATCTTTCTGGACCGAGTAGAGTCGTCATTGTGGGGCCCCATCTTCCTTCTAGAGACTTCAGAGATTGCTATTGGGAAGACTTATTTTCTCTATGAACATTATTAATATCAAAATGGAAAGTTTGAGTCTTAGGATGACATAAAACATGAGGAAGGATTCCAGAAGTCAAGAATAAGCATGGAGAGAAATAGAACCTTGACAACAATGGTCCCTAGATTATTGGTTTTCTTCTGTCTCACACCAGTTGGCTCTTCCAATATGAGACAGTCTCTTCTCATATTTCTTTTAGCAACATGTTTGAGTTTAGAGGAGAGAGCTACATTCCAACTCCAAGGCCAGCTTGATTTATAATTGAATTGGGATCCACAACTATTCTAGAGTTAAAGAGATACTGCTGTTAGGCAGTGAGATATTACCCTGTAAAGTACACTGGTACCAATAGGTTCTTCCCTTCTGCTGTAGACATCTGGGTGTTCAAGGCCTTATGATTTCTTGAAGATGGGCATTCCTATTATCCTGTACAGACTAAAAACAGAACTCTGCCCCAACCATTGTTTGTTGAGTTTTTCTTACAACTTATAGAGTTATCACATGGGTGGGTGAGCTATTACTTCTCCTCATCAAGGGGTTTCTCATGTTCAAAGTGAATCTGTATCAAATTTGTTGGTATCCATAGCTTTTCTTCTCCTGCAGAAACAAAAGCAAAACCTCTTCCCCAATGTAGGACATATCCTGGTTTCCATTCTAAGGTCAACACATCTTTCTAATTGCCTTAAAGCTGTTCTGGATGTTGGATCATCTGGAGACCTCTCAGGGGGTCTTCCTTGATGGAACCATATTAACCTGGAAGGAATCCACAGCTTCTCATCTTCTGTGGAAAGAGAAGGAAAACCTCTTTTCCAAAGCAACATATCCTTAGACATAAATTTTGA